CTATCCCCGGGTCAAGAATGAACCTTTACGGTCAAATATTTGTGGAGAGTTACTGTGGGGAAACTGGCGACTTTCAAGGAGAGGTCAGAGGAGAAGTTGCACAAAAGTGCTGGCTGGACAGACAAAGAGTTACATGTCTACAAACAGCTACACTACATAACTTCTCCTAAAACCATAAAGACCATGATTGAGACCAAAAAAAAACAGATGCATGTTAATTAATGATCTTTAGAGGTGTTGGTTGGCAGATTTTTGAGTTTTGGACAGAGCTAGGCTGGCTGTTTTCCCTGTTTCTAGTCTTTATGCTAAGCTAAGCTAAGCTAATCACCCCCTGCTTTAGCTCCACACTTAAACAACTCACGGGCATGAAAGTGGCATCAGTCCTTATCAATCTCAGACTCATGGTCAGAAAGTTAAAGAGATGTACTACCCAAACTTTGAAACTGTGCCTTTAACAGAAGCTACTTTGCAAATCCTGCTACAAAACCAATGACGTATGTGAAAGACCTTCTCAATCATCCAGGTTGTACTATGTCCCTGGACATGAGTTTGACTGAAGACATTTCACTGTTTATCCAAAGAGCTTCTTTAGTTCTTATTGTTGTGGGAACCTGATTGTAAGCAAGGACTCTTACATGCCCTTATTTTAACAGTGGATGGTCCCACGCTACTGGAAATACCTCGTACCTACAACGGTTGGACTTGAGAAGCATTTCAGATAAACAGAAAAGTCATGACCCAACAATCTGGATTCAGCTTTCTCCAGACAACTGATTTAAACACTTTCTATTGACTATTTGTCACTGTAATTTCACATACCATTTGTCTTTGATGCAAAGTTTGTGCTGAACCCAAATTTTGTAGACCTTAAAATTGTAAAATTTGGCTCATTGTAATCATTTAACAACAAGCCAAAGTCCATCATCTCTTTGTTGTGTCAAAATCAAACCAGCAGTGTCTAATGTTACTACATCTTTTTGATGAAATCATTTGTGCCAAAGCAATTTTCACAGGTTATAGTCACAGTGTTGCCCATCTGCCCTGGTCTGTCAGTCCAACAGTTCAACACATGGATAAACACACAGAATTACAGATATGATACACATCCATAACAGCCTCAACTTCTCACCTTGTAAACATTAGGATACAAATTATTCAGAGGCAAATAATGACAATGGTAGCAAAGTCTTTACTTAAACTAAACAACATATACTTTCCTTTATGTGTCTTTTGCAAAATCATTAATCCTTCCAATGCCCTTTTGTAGATTCAGCACAGCGTTTCCAATCAACCGAACCTCAGAAAAAAAACATTCTTGAACAGCATCCTGTCTTTCATATTTTCTCTCACTAATTAGAAACATTTCAACAGTTATTAAGTATGACTTTACTCATGCACAAAATAAACCAGATACAATTTATACGGTGCAATATGTAACACTTCTCTGTCATTTACAATGAAGCACTGATGTTCAACTGAAGTCATGGTGCTGAAACACATCAGCAGTCAGGTAACAGCATTGGTTAATAACAGTGAAACCAATAATTCTCAGTATATTATTACAGTCACAGAACAAAAGAAACAGTACCCTGGGTATTTGAGCATGTTACCAGACCATACGACAACGCAACAGTCTTGATGCATGAATGCAATCGTATCAATTTCAGTGAACACAGAGCAAATAAAAGTGCCGATTGCCAACATATTAAACCTGTTAACAGTTAATGGCCGTATGTAGATGCCTTTATTTACCACAGTGTTTTTCGATTGGATTTTTTGGTGGTTGGCTTAAAACATTTGTGCAACCAGTGAAGATCCTTAAATGCAGAATAGTGTTTAGCTGCAACTATATCCATCCAAAAATAGTCCCGTTTAAAAGGAAAAGTTTACCGGTGGTTTGGCATGTTTCAGCCCATTAACTACAAATGGTGTTTACTATGTTATTTTAGGCAATTTTATTTCTTTTCAATTAAGGCCTCCTGCTCTCAAGATGTTCTTGAATCAAGTGGAAATACCATTAGATTGACGCTTTTTGAGTCTCTTTGAAACGCCTTCAAATGAACAAAGAGGCTTTGGGTGAAATGTTAACTATGAGAAACACTTGTCAATTTATATATGTTGATGGCCTCCTTCAGTGTCTGACTCATAAACCGGAGGGCCAGTGATCTTTAATGTGTTTTTTATGTCTTTTGTGTTTTCCACCAATCTACAATTGTTGCTGTGATAGCTGTAATATCGTCACAACAAAGCAGAAGAAAATGCCTTATAGTTTAGACCAGTGGTTTCCAACTTGGGGTCCCAAGATAAGTGTGAGGGGTCACAAGATGATTTAAGTGAGAGTATAGTCTCTGCCACACAAAATCATGTTTGTCTGTTTTTTTTACAACTTTTCACGAAGTTGTTTTTTATTCGGAAATACTGGACACTGTCACCTTGAGCTTTAGACACAAGGCTGAACTGTACCTGTTATACCTGTTACCTCTGTCCCAAGCGCAGAAACATACTGTTGGGCCCTTGCTGACCCTTCAGCTGCTACCCTCTGTACAGTAAATTGTGTATATATCCTGTCGCCTCCAAGTTCCATCTAACACAGTGCAACCAGCAACCTATATGTAGAAACTTCAAAATTCACCCAGACACTGATATGCTGGAATGATACCACCTGACGAATGCCCTGGTTTTCAAGTGTGCAGTTGAATGCCACATAACCTCAACATGGTCAGGGCAGGGCCAGGAACCTTAGCTTCATGTCATACCTCTCTCCTTCCTCTTGTTTCCTGTCTGCTTTTTCAATATGGACTTTCCAATAAAACAGAAAAATGCCAACATAAAAAATGGTTAAAAGAAAAAAAAAGGTTTTCAATATCTCAGCGAGGTTATTTGATTAAACAGAATTTTTTGTAGGAATATGCAACAAGTCTGAAAAGGTCTTAAAGCTTGGCTTTGACACGTGATTCCTCTACAAGACAGGAGAGGACAACATCAGCTAACAATGCAAAACTTTGTTCAATTAACATAGTTTGGCATGGAATAATCCTGGGACTTCTGGGGCCTCTGGGGCTTTTGGGCCCCATCTTGTTTAAAGTAGTGTTGTCAAAAATATAGTTTTATTGATACATATCAAGTATAAAGAGCTTCAGTGCAGAATTGATGCACCTGTGCCTGCTGCACTTTCTCGCTCTCTCTCATTGTTAACCTTTCAACCTTTCTGCTGTTGTCTGTTCCTAACTACAGAAAGAAAAGTCACCTTTGTCATGGCATACTCTCGTTATATCTATCTAGCACTGGATAGTATCACCATCTAGTATCGAAAATAGTATTGAATATTTTTGACCAGTAAACATTCATCTTTGGTTGCTCACACTGAGGCCGTAACCTGTGATGGGGTCTCAAGTGGATATTTTAAGGGGTTCCGAGCCAAAAAGTTCAGGAACCATTGGTTCATTGAATCCAAATACATGACTGAACATAAACAAAAAAGGTTTCCAGGCTATTGTTTCGTCTTAAGGGCTCTTTAGGTGATGCCTGTTAGCAGCCTGCCATACGATCTCCTCATTTCCTCTATTCTTTTGCAGTTCATTATTTCATGTATTTGCTGAAGGTGTTCAGTCGCTGCTTTGGAGTGTGAGCCTGTCAACATAATAAAAGGTTATGGAACCCATTGTTTCTTGTAAGACAAAGAGTGTTATTTCTAGGAAGAGGAGGAGGAGTGCTATTAACAGACTGCAGTTCAGTCTAATGCGAAGAACTCCTAGCTGTGTCTCACCCACTGCTTTGGTTACAGCTCTGCTTTCATCAGCTCATCATTGTTCCTTTTTTATTACACCATACAGCACAGTGGGCTAACAAAACAGCGGTGCCTGTATTTTCTCTGTTTTTGTTTGTCTCTGGCTCTCTGGCTGTGCCTCTCTCGCATGTTTAAATCCCTACACACCACAGTGCATTGTCCTCAAAGTGCTTTTCTCCTGAGTGTGATCAGGTGTGTGTGATTGTGCTCGAGAGACGAATAGAGGATGTGAGCAGCTGCCTCTCCCCACAGCTAACGAAACCAGGGTCTTGCTTTTATTTCACTTTATAACAACTTGGATTACATGACCAGATCAGGCTTTTGACTGACTGAATCATGTGGTGTGTGTATGTGTGTGTGTGTGTGTGTGTGTGTGTGTGTGTGTGTGTGCATTTAAGTTAGAAAAGCAAATTTAAAGTGAAACAGGAAGGTTTGTCTTCTTTTTTAAACTACAGATCTACTCTATTTGTGTATACTGTGTAGGTGAAACATGTTGAGATCTGAAAATCTAGATGAAGAATTCTTTTAACTTCCACATAAAATGATTATGAAGCATAAATAAAATCTGTTTTTCTATTTAAAGGATCAAAGAATCGTCAATCTGTAAATAACATTTCAAAAGACAAGAGCTGTTTGTATCAAACAATAAAAATGTAGCATTTTAGATCCTGTCATTGTCATCTCTGAAAGAGATGGAGATAGCCAATCTTAAAGGCACAGTGCACTTTCAGTTGTTTAAAGGATGACTGTCTTACTCCAAATGTCTTAGTGGCTGCACTGTGTTCAGCTCAGCACCACCGAACTGGAACAGATAATCAAATAAACAGAAGCAGAAAATCTAATTTGACTCCGATTACATAACTGATCTTTTCAGGATGGGCTTAACACTGCAAAACAGCTGGACTGAAGTCATAGGAAATAAAAAACAAAACAACATAAAACAAAAACAATCTGTTTACAAATCCAGGGAAAATCCATGTCACTCCTCTGCAGCTGCTTCACACTGCAGTAAAACCTGGTTATGTCCCCTCTGGGAATCAAGATTGACTGGGAGAATTAAATGATATGTCTTACAACCAGAAACATCCATGAGCAGTGCACACGTTCAGCAGCAATTTGCAATCTAATTAGAGGTGTGGAGTTAAATGCTTTCGGCTGCAAACATCGAGTTTCCAATGTCGTCCGTTCCCCCCCCCCCCCCCCCCCCCCCCCGGTCACAATGATGAGACTAGCAGTTTTTAACGAGACGGATGGTACCAGAGTTACTCTACCAATGAACAAGAGCATCAAACAAAGTGGTACAGAAGGGTCTACAGTAAAATCCACCCACAAACATACAGAGCTGATGGACAGACATTCAGTCAGTGCACACTTTGTACAAGATTCCTGATAATTATTAAATAGATTATGAGTATTTACAAGATACGCTAGGCTAACATTAACCAAAGAATCAATAGTATTTTTGTATATCATCCTATATTTACATCTATAACCTCATTTGAGAATATGTACATAATATTTATGTGGATTTATCACAAGAAGAGAGACACAGAATATAGAAAAACCCAATCAATACTGTAGATTGGTTTCCACTATACGTCAAAATGGCTAGCCAAAGTTTACTCTTTAGCCTAATTCTCACTAAAGGCACAAACAAGGCTAGCCGGGGTGTAGCCTTCAGCCTGATACACACCAAAGGACCGCTATGCTAAGAGGTCAGCTAAGGCTAACAGAGTCATCTAACACCACCACCTCTACCAGATGTTTGTTGTGCTTTGTCGTTTTAAATTAGCAAATAGTGCTTTGGATGTTTTTTTCTAAAGATGTTGAATTTGTAGCGCAGTGGTCACTAAGCAGCCCTGAAGTCCCTGCGGTAGGGCCTGTAGAAAAATACCTGTGGGGCTGATTCACACGCAGGAATTGAATCAAGTCTCAAACTTTGTCCTCGGTGATGATTGTGTTCCCAAGGATGAGACGTGTTCTGACCTCAGGTGTTTCCCTCTATACTTCCTTTTACTCTCACAATCACTTTCTCTCTATTTTCAACATTTTGCATTCTCTCTTAATGCTTGAGCCAGAGAAATAAAATGAGTCATTCTATTTCTATGGCTTGAACTCTCTAGATGTCCTCGTCTTTCCTAAGTGTGCTTCCTCTCCTGTTATTTTTGCACTCCGTGCACCATTAGTTCTCTCTCTCTAGTTCTCCCCCCGTAGCCTGCACAAGCTCAAGATTTGCTTGCAATTCATTTGCATTCACCTGGATCCTGAGTCAGAGCACAACCTACTCAAAACCTCAGAGGAAGGCTGACCAGAGACAGTATAACAAAAGGTGATGGGTTAAAAACATGATCTGTGCCAGTTTCTTAAAAAAGAGACGTTTTGACTTCCCCATCAAAAATCCACCCTTTCCAGAAACTCCTGTTCTCTGGGCACATGTTCCAGCCTGCTGTAAAATACAGACTAAATTTCAAGAGTAAAACCCAGATCAAATAAATCCATCAAATCCAGTTATAACTTCATATGGTAGAACATTATGTCAAATACGAGGATTTAAGTATTTAAGTGTATATCAAATGAATTGCAACAAGATCTTGAGGCCATTTGGGCTAATCCCTTCACTAAATATGCCCTTCAAACACAGGGTAGTATTTGCTTTCCTGCACTTTGGATTTGTACTGTCTCTCCACCTATTCTGTCCCACTCTAATCTCGGTCTACCCCCCCTCTCCCCGCTTGTGTCTCTTAGCTGTAGCCGAGGTTCTCCATCTCGTGGCGGTATCTTAACTCTGACACTTTTGCTTTGTGCTGCTTGCTTTCAAGATGCTGCCTGAAGTCCGTCTCCTGCTCGGCTCCGCAGTTGCACATGGAGCAGTAGAACTGTCCGCTGGGAGTCACACACATGGCCAAGTCCCTGGGGATGCGCTGCCTCGGTCTAGGGTTGTAGTACGGCCCTAAAGGGAGAAGAGAGAAGAGACAACAGACAGGAGAGAAGTAAATTGTAGCTAAACATTAAATGGCTGATTCTTAACAGATTTGTCTATCATGACAGCTGGAAGATTAATCAGAGGAGGACTAATGGTATTATTTTACCATGAGTTATTAGTTATTGTAATGGTACGCCAAAATTTAGCGAATAAAATGTCAGAAAATTGTGAAAATGTACAACATTCTCAGAATCCAAGGTCTTAAAATTGCTTGTTTTGTCCAGGCGTCCCAAACCCGAATATATTCAAATGTTGGTTCTCAGTCCAGACTATAAAAAATCTGTTGCATGCCTTGCTAGGAAATTTGGAACAGGTATTCGTGGTGCCAGAGGATGAAGAGGCCTACAAATGGCGATCCCCTGACTTTTCCTCTAGTACCGCCATGAGTTTCACATTTGTGGTTTTGAGTGAAATGTCTTGGCATATATCGAATGAACTAACATCAAATTTGGTAAGGACATTCGTGCATTCGTGAATTGTAGTAACTCTGGTGTTCCCTTAACATTTCCTCTGGTGCCACCATCAGATCAAAATTTTAACATTTAGTAGTAACAGTCATCTATGATCAATTATCTGCAAAACTAATGACATTCCCTTCAGCCACACAGTGTCATTGTGAACATGCTAATGTTAGCATTTAGCTTAAAACACTGCCATGCCTAAGTACAGCCGTTAGCATGGCTGTAGATTTACAGAGCGCTGTCTTACACCCAGCGTAAAGCGGCACCCAGTGGAGCGCAAACTTTGATTGCTAGTTTCAGACTGACTCAGGCCATTTAGCGCCCACACTGTGTAACCAGCAAATGTACTTGCACCAATTTGTTTGCCAATAGGTCTTAAATTGAGATGTGGTCAGGTCCATTGTTGATGGTTTGCTATTTTTAGGTAGCAGGAAGTGAGTGCATTTTTGGGTGCATTATTCAGAAAGTAAGACCACGCCTACATTGGCTGATTCACAACCATTTTTATACAGTCTATGTTCACAACATGCATACAATCTCCTTGTTACACACACAGGGACGCGCAGATGGGTTACAGGTGGGTGAAGTAATACATCATTAAAAAAACAAATATGGCTGACATTATCTAAAATATCAACATAGCAGAGATCACAGTAGAGCTACAGAGCCACTGTCCGATTACATGAGTAGCAGCGTAAATTCATTGGTTATTTCAGAAGCTAAAAGTTTAGTTCTGTTTCCTCCATCAAGTTTACAACTACAGTTTCATGTTACACCAAAAACACACCTATGATTAATGAAGGGGCTAACTAACACCCCTTTGCCCCATACTCTTTATGTTGCACTCAGATTATGCACCATTTAACTAGCAAATGTGGCTGGACACACCCTATATGCACTTGCAGCATGCACTTTAGACCATGTGCTATAGATCTTTTAAATAGCGACCAAAGTCTTGTTGCTTGATAAATGACTTACACAGCTGATTACTAAAATTGATTCATTCACCACTCATCTTAGCACAAATTAGATGTTTTCCACGTCAAATTTTAGGCTGGGGACACACCCAAAGCTAGTCCAGCATCACACACTTACATTGGTATATCACTGATGTGTGTGATAAAGATACACAAGTCATCTGGGATTACAACTAGGTGGATCATTGGAAAGCGTATTGCTTGTGTGTGTGCGTGCGTGCGTGTGTGTGTGTGTGTGTGTGTGTGTGTGTGTGTGTGTGTGGGTTACACAGTAGAAAAATGAGAAGGAGATTCGAGAGAGAGATACAAAGACAGCGAGAAGGCAACCGCAGGAGAGAGTGCAGCTATTTTGGGATTTGTCCATCAAGAAAACTGATTAAATCAGCAGAACATTGTGGTGTGTGTGTGTGTGTGTGTGTGTGTGTGTGTGAAAAAGAGAGTGGATGAGAGAGAGAGTGAGAGAGGAAGTGAATTGGCTCTACTTTATGATTTATCCTGAATTATCTTGATCCGAGGTCTTACTGTTTTTGTCTGTGGAAAGACAGAGACATAGCGGCAAGAAGGAGATGGTTGTTTGACGTCAGCAGAAAGTCTGACGTTATCTACTCTGTATCTGTTTTCACACACACACAAAGGTCGAAAGCAGACACTCACACTAACACACAGGCAACATGGTAAAGTTAAAACTAGCTTTCAGCCAAAAACGATGTCGGCTAACCCTGTGTTAAATAAAAAACTGGTAAAATGTGCACAGCCATGTTACTCTCATAGTGCAGCTTCATGTCAGCTTTTCCAAAACACCCAAGGAGGTTAAGTGGGTGCTCCAATAAGTCTATAAAATAAAATTAAATAACAAACACTGGGTGAAATAGTCTACTTTTTACAACAGTATTTCTTAGATTTATCTGCACGGTGTCAACTGCTGCCACAGCCAAGAAATGCTGCCTTAAAAGGCTGTTAGTAAAGAAAAATGTAACATCTGGTGTAGGCCACTGAAAGACACCAGTTAGGTGTCAGATAAAAAGCTGACTTTTTCATGATACACACAAAAAAGTCTGTTTTCAATTCAGAGTTTCCATATGGGGCAGCCTTAGGAATAGCATGTTTAGTATTTTCTAGTGTTCATCATATCTTTTTAACCAGCTGCAGCAGTTTACTTCACTGACGTATTCTGACATCAGTAGATCTGGAATTTTTCTCTCCCCCAGGGGATCCACTACAGCTCAGTGAGCTATTGGAGCTCATGGCGGCATTATGTGCAGCAAAGCTGACTTTCCAGCATACAGTACAGTATATACATTGTATGTATACGCTATGTGTGTAGAGGTCATTCTGGATTATAGCACATTAAAATAAATTGAGCAGCCACGGGCCGTATAGCTGTGCAGTTGCTCACTGTGCAGCACAGTTTTAGCATGGAGTGTTGGATGCCAGTGCAAAGGGATTACTAAGAGCTAAATTTTCTTTGAACCCAAAATAATCCAAATACAAAAGAAATAACCAGGACAAAGGAACAGTTGACTGCTGATTGTTTCTTTTACATAGCTTTTTGTATATGGTCAGATGTAATATTTTCTGTGGTTATGATCTCTTAATGGGGCAACATCAGCTGCTAACAGTAGCTCGTTAGTGTAGCTGACATGGGATTGTTCATTGTTTCACCAATAAACCACAAAAATAGCCACTGTTGGGTTTGTGTGTTGTACTGTTTAACAGTTTAACATTAACAGTTCAAAATATGAGTTTGCATCTAGGTCTATGTCAGTGAGTGTCTCTGTTTTTAAAGGTGTAATTTATTTATTTTTTAATATTTTACCTGGCATGGAAGCAGGTAGCTGTGGGCTGCGGCGGTTTTTCACCAGTCTGTACTCGCTGCCATCTTTCCTGTTTCTTCTTGGGGCTGCCTCGCTGCTGCCTTCCCTGAAACAGGCAGAGCCAGAGTCACAGTCACTTCAGTTGTATCCAAAAGATGAGTAAGCCACATCATCTGGCTATGTGTTTCCACACTTTCAGCTTGGCTCGTTCCATAATCAACAAAGCCAAAACCAGCTATTTTTCTCAACTTTGTATTTGGGAGAAAGTCAGACTAGACAGTTATATCTTCAGTTATATCTGTATATCTTCTCAGGTCATTCAGATTAACATAAATGAGGCATACAACAAAATGTGACTTCAAATTCATATTGGTTTGGAGCCCTTAAATCAGTTGTGGCTCTCAGAAGATTTGAAAGATAAATGCTAGGCCAATATAAAGCTAAATAAGGATGAGACCTCTTACCTTGCAAGAAAAAATTCTTTACTTAAACCTACATGTTATTGGAGTTCTGTTGGGCCTCAGCGAGCCGTAGTTTCTTGGCATGGTTCTTGCCCTGGTAGTGGGCCTGTGCCACTGCCAGTGAACTGAAGGAGGCGTCACACAGCTTACAATAGTCATTCTCTGTGGCCAAGATGACCCGGGTCGCCCCCTTATACTGCCCCTGCAGACACAGGACAAAGCAGTACAGTATATGTGGTGAGAGGAGTTAGGGAGTAAACACTGAGAAAGACAATACATTTTTAGATCTAGTTGGAGGAAGAGAAGAATTTTCAACAGAAAATATACACCAATGCAAGGAATTAAATCATTACAGAAATCACATCTAAGAGCTTAGGTCCAAAATAGTCATATTGTTAGTTTGACATTTTTAAAAAATGAAAACAACAGACACTTTCAGGTTATGTTGCCCATTATATTTACACGTTTAAGGCTTAATACAGTCATGTGCAAAAAGGACAGTTACAGGTACAAAATTTCCTGAGATCTAAATTGTAAAGTAGTGTGCTGGCAGATTTGTAATTTGTTCATGTGTTTAGCTGACGTTTTTATCAAAAGTGAACAGTCAGTACGTTTACATGCACAGTTTAATTCCACTTTTAATCGGAATGAAAGGCCATTCCGATTAAAAGTGGTCATGTAAACGGTCATTCCGATTGAAAATTAAATCCGATTAAAGGGGGTGGTTTATTCCGTTTGTCATTCCGAATGAAAGAATTCTGTGTGCATGTATACACTCATTCCTCTTTAAATTCATTCCGGTCTTTCTGCGCATGCTCGTTTCCTTGCCCTTCTGGCGCGATGACGTATATAGCGCGCATAGCAACGGGCTGCATAGCAACAGGCTGAGATAGAGCAGTCGGACTTGTTGCACTCACCGGTTTCCATTCGCCACAGCACGGTCTTCTACCTCCCTTCTTCGACCTTCTACCTCCCTTCTCCTCCTCAACAGACGAAGCATTAGCAGAACAAGGTTGTTGTCGTACTGCTGCTTCAAGAATATAAGCAAAACAAGCCCGAAAAAGGCACTAAGAACGGCGTCGTCAAGCATCTTGTTATCCGGAGCGAGGACTATACAGTGTTTTCTTCTGGTAAACGTAAACACGTAACATCCGCCCCGCCCCCTATCCAATCAGAAACCTTCCCTGCCCCAAACCTTGCGCAGACCTGAATACAGGCGATTGAACTGATCTCCCATGTAAACCCTCATTCGAATGAATGAATGAATATTTCCCATGTAAACTACCTGGAAAAACTTTAATTCCGAACGATTTCATTCAGATTTATTTCATTCCGAATGAGAAGCCATCATGTAACCGTAGCCAATGATGACAGCAAAACAATCACTGCGTAGCCAGACCTATCTCCAAAGCGATGTGTCAGGGCTAGAGAAAGGTCTGGAATCACCGCTTATCTAATCGCTCTGGCTTGTTTGGGTTTCTTCAAATCAGTCACAGTCTTCTTGGGTGGTGCTAAGCCTGAATGCAGTGACAGTGATCTTGCAAAATAGTGTCGGAGGTGAACTTGTTTTGGTGAAACATTTGCACGTGGGGAGGCGAGCCCAGTCATTAAAATGTCAGTGCAAAAGAAACCACCACAAAACATTAACAGTCATATGTCATGTGATTCAACTTTTAGTGATAAGAAAAACAGACATAATTTGATAATTGGTGCCCTAGAGGTGAAGCATGACTGTACTTAATCTCTGGAGGAGCTCACTAAACCCGTTAAAACCCCAGACAATTTGCTGGCTATACACGGCTCTAGCAGAACATTACTACAATGATATCACATGTGGATGAATCTGTATATTCTCAAAGATAATGTCCCTGGCACATGCTGCTGCCAGAGTTACAAGGCGTGGCAAATAAACTCCAACTAGCCATGTCAGAAAATGGATCACCATCAGGCATGAGAGTCTCGGGCATGTGGAGTGTGGGCTTTTCCGAGGTGTGTTGTTTTACTCACTGCAGGTCTTTACAACAATTCACCAAAACAACAATGCAGGCATGCCTTGTTGCACAATCCAAATCTTTACCAAAACATGCCATTTTCAGTGTGTAAGTTGCTAACTCAGAGGTTAGCGAAGAAGATTTGGAAATGGTAACATGCAAATAGCAGAAGGAAGGGAGAATGATAGCCGAAATCAGCCACCAAATGACAGGCTTATAGCTACAGTCTCAGTCCACTACGTCTGAGTCAGACTAATGTTTCAATGACATGGTATAACCTCAAACCATCAATAACTGATTTTCTTGGCCATCTCGGGACAGCAGAAACAAGTATCGACATTGACATGACATGACATGATCTTCAAGTTGATATGGTGACCTTGTTAGCAAACAGCTGTTAATCTTCACATTTAGCAGTTACAGAACAACATTATCATTCATTTGGAGTTGTGTTTCTGGTTGCCTTGTAAATTTAGGTCCAATCTTAATTGTCCTTTTAGCTCTGATTTTGGTCTGCACCAACTCCTGAGGGAAATATTTGCTAGCTGCTAAATGTTTCAATGTGTTCACCAGCTAGTCTCTAACTTGTTTGCTTGCTGTTTGATGCCTGTTACAGCTGAAAACGACACTACGAGAGTAGTAAGAGTGAAACAAAACAGTAAAGTGGTGGGCCAGAAGGCTAAATATTGAGCTGAAACTCACCATAAAGCTCTGTAAAGCTGAGGGGAGCTGCTGATTCAGATGATAATTCTCAGTAGATACATCACAACGTAGGATCCGGGTCACATCATTAAATTGTTTTCACATTGTCACTTGATACATAGCCTTGTTTAACTCTGAGACGATGTAGCATTACAATAAAATGTATTATGTATAATAATCTAATTGCAGCAGAATGTGTAGAGACAGTAAATTGTTCAGTGGTGATAAGATGATGAGTTTCCGCTGTTCAAATAAAACAGAATGACTGTGCAGCTCCTTACCGCCTCCTCACAGGGAAACTACCTCTATCAGCAGACTGGCCACTTCAGCAGCAGTCCACCCACATTCTCGACTAAAACTGTAGCATTTAGGTAGGCTGGTGCTGAGTTTGGATCTGACCTGCCTGCCTGCGTCACTGTCGTTTGATCCTGAGCTGAGGGATGTCTGGCCAGCTGCCTCGAGGACTTCTGGGATTCTGATGGCTGGAGGCTGTTGACTGCCAGCGTAGAAATTTCTTAACTTTTTACTGTGGTTCTTCCCCTAAACAGACAGATAAAGAGATATGTATTTATTTATTTATCTTAATATTTAACATGTTTCTTACATGTGGATTTCAACTGACCTGGTAGTGAGCTTGTGCCTGCTGAGCAGAGTTGAGGGTAACGTTGCAGAGTTTACAGTACAGTGGTTTACACAGTTCCCCCAACCCCAGAGAGTCTTCCTGCTCCTCCATCCCCAGCAGAGAGCCCTCATCCTGGGGCTGCTCGCTTGCTGGGGCAGCCTGACCCGGCAGAGGACCAGGGATGAGGCAGGACATCGGGGCTGGAATTAGAGCTGGTCCTGGGGGTCTTGGGGGGAGGTGTGAAGGGTCTGGGCCTGGAGCAGGAGGGGAGGACATGGGGCTGGGAGGGAGGGGGAATCGGCCGGCTCCGGGCGCGACTACAGGTGGGGGCACCAGTGCTTGGGCAGGGTTCAGAGGTGGAGGCCCCAACGGTTGTATGAGGTCCATGGCTGGAGGCACTATAGCTTGTGTGTGATCAACAGGTGGGGGCCCCAAGGTGTGTGCCATTGGTGGAGGCCCTAGTGGCTGAGCTGGGGCCATTGGAGGGGGGCCTAAGCTGTGTGGTGGGGTAATGGGTGGGTGTCTTAACGTGTGAGTAGCAGTCATGGGAGGGGGGCCTAGAGTCTGGGTGGGAGCCATAGTTGGGGGTCCCATTGCCTGAGCAGGGGCAAGTGGTGGTGGACCGAGAGGCTGCGTAGGCGCCATTGGCGGAGGTCCCAGCTGGTGCAGAGAGTCCATGTGGTGGAAAGGCTGCTGGGGATGGCTGAAGAGACTCAGGGGAGGTTTCAACATGGTCTCCGGGCCTGTGAACAGAGGCAGATGCCTTTCTTTTAGACGGGGGCAGAGATTGAAATCAAAGACATTTCCTGCAAGGAAATTCAGTACCCTTGATGTGGGAAAAAGTGTTGTATGGGCATTAGTACTACTATATTCAAGGAAACCAGAAAGCATTCAGAATGTTCATGCAATGATAGAACATATTAAGAAGTTTTTAGCCACGTGGGCTGGTTGGTCCACCACTTCAATCCAAATTAAAATAGCTCAACAGCTATTGGATTGATTGTCATGAGATTTGGTATTTATGGTCCACACAGGATGGATCGTAATGACGTATCTAGCACCAGCAGAATGACAATATTTTCACTTATCCAGGAAAATATCTCAAACAATTACTGGATGATCTCACGCCATCATCACGTCAATTTTTCATTTTGTCTGATACCACAGTTTGTGAACAAATCCCTGCAAAAAAACGATGGGATTCCCATCAGCCTTGCCTGTAGTTTGTGTTAAGCTCTAAGTATCATATCAGTTCACAGTCTTATTACTCTGCATCTAAATCTGGCTCTGAATCAAAATATATACAAGCCCTGACAGTCCATGATAGTAATTGGGATCATCCAAATTTGTTATGTACCAAATTTGGTAAAAATGGGATAAAGTTTACAGGATGAGCAATGAATAATGATGCAATCAAATTTAATCTGTTGAGGTAGACATGGGTGGGATCTCTTCTGGCAGGTTTATCTTAAAACAAGGAATCCAGAATTTTGAGTCAATGCCACACAGTTCAGACATTATATGCAAAGAATCTGCTTTCTAAATGGCACCAGACACTGGGCCCATATTGCTTATATGTACACCAAATTCCACTCAAATCTATAAATGTATTTTAAGAAATCTCATTGGCTAACAGACTGAAGCAGACTGGCTCAGGAGGCAGAGCAGGATATCCACTAATCAGACGATTGGGGATTCAATCTCTCGCACCTCTGGTCCACATGTCAAAGTATCCTCGGGCAAGAATACTGAACCCCAATTGCTGTATCTGTGCATGTGAATGTCTAAACTGAGTAGCAGATAGCAAGCACCTGTCATGTGAATATGTGTGTGTGAACTGGTAGATAAACATGTAATTTGCAGTAGATTAGAGTGCTGATGATGCTTCAGATACTGACTTATGTGGATACTGTCTACTGACAGATCATCAAATGGACATTGAGGAGGGACTTGGTGAAAATCAACTGAGTGATGTACAGTGACACTAAGAGAAGAAGCATTTTTTCCTCGAAGCCCTGAGGCAGGAGGGATGTAAAGAGATGGGCAAATGGAAACACATTCTCGGACAGAGGAGCTTCACACTCCAGTGGGCATGAGAAAGATTAGGCTGAGCCTGCAGCGCCTGCAGTCATGCATACGGGACGTTACATACACATGCATGTGCATACACACAAACAGTGACAGTGACAATAAAAACTCCTCAAGCTTCTTTGATCCGAAGAGATCACAGCCTCAAGTGTGACTGCTTGAATAGACTGATGTAGTGTGTGTGTGTGTGTGTGTGTGTGTGTGTGTGTGTGTGTGTATGTATGCATGCATGGTAGACCTGGACATGTATGTATAAGAAAAAAGAAGAAAGAGCATTATATTAGAGAAGGCAGTGTGCTGATTTCTCTGTGTGATCGTTTGTGCCGCTCTAATGCTCCATTCTGTGTGTGTGTGTGTGTGTGTGTGTGTGTGTGTGTGTGTGTGTGTGTGTGTGTTTGTTTATAACAGCATATATTGTCAGGTCAGTAATAGGCCAACAGCTGTCTCAAAACTCCCCATGCTGGAAGCTTTTATCTGGAATCCACTTGGACGCCCAATGGCAATGATTCATGGACCCAAAATAACATCCCGAGGTGTTTGTGTTTCCGACTGCTGCTCGCTGTCAGTCTGTCTGTCCAGTCTGTCGGGCCACCTGTCTGTCACCTGGCCTGGCTGACCTCAGGAGAAAGGTATGCTAGACAAGGCCCCTGACCTTACAGTCCTGTCAACTGCAAGATGAGACTGTGGGAGAGTCAGCAGGGCTGGAGGGGTTGCCAATATGCAGCAGTTTTGTGTAAATAAATATCAGTTTCACTATGTATTGGCATTGCTAGTGCTGTTTAGACATATCCTGCTAAAAAGAGCTTGTATATTTGCTGTTTTTAGGAGCTCCTTCTTAGGAGATATTCTCTGGCAGGGAACAGCAATAGTGATTTATTGGCAATAAACATTAGAAGAAGCTGGTCTGAACTGGCCATTGTGAGTGGACAGTTAAAAGAAAGCAGCTCTAACAGGACCTCAAGCTTCATAAGCAAAAAATCTAAAGAGAAGTCACAGACACACTTAAAGTCATTTGCAGAAATATCCTAGCAAGGAAAGCTTTTGTACTGAAGATGAAGGCAAAACAGGGAAAACATGGTTTTAAATGAAGATATTGTACCCATTCAAAGGTTAAACATGGCCTAAGAGGTAGTACAATACAGCATGTTTTGAGTTTGTGCCTTAAATATTCATATAAATTCATATCATATTTTTCATTCAGACACCTCCTCAATGCTCAATGGTCACTATAAACGTCACCAGTCAAGTTCTACATACAGCACATCATCAACCTAATCAGCAGCAGCCTCATGAGAACTCTTCAACCCCGATTGAGACAGCCTGCACAGCAGTCCGGAAACCTCACCGCAGCCACAATTATAAGCACAAAGGGCGACTGGTCCTTTTTGCTTGATATCATCCATTAGGTAGTTCAGAGTACATATTGTTCCACCACAAAATAGATGACTAGCTACGTGCACATTTATTGTATATCTGTTACAATATGATGTAAGCTTGAAGACATCACTGTGAACTATTTCTCCAACACTGCCTTCCCACCACCGAGTGTTTTCTCTTTCCTAACCTCTTCCTCAACTCGTGGTGATGCTGTCAAATTACTGTGCATCACGACTTAATGTAGCCTTTACTGTGGCTGAAAACAGGGCTGATACCTCTCCATAGGTTTGATGTGAGCTAGATGGGCCAAGGTCAGTTTTGTCCTCCTCCTCCTCCTGAGAGACCCAGATCCAAGCCCATAAAGTGCAATCTACAGAGCTGCAGCACATACAACGTGCATGTTCACAGCAGTGGGCCTTGCTGCAAAGTCAAAAACATATTTGTTGTTTTGCATTTGTGTTTTTGGAGAGGAATCAACTTTGCAAGTCAAAGTCGGGCTTATGTAATGTCGCCCTGAAGCAGAAGGCAGTTGATCAAGAGGTTGACAACACGGTAATGTTCATCAGAGATGTTGTTCTCCACGTCTCACAAGAATCAGCCAGAGTTGGGAAAAAAATCTCAGAAGTTATTCATTAGTTCATCACTCTGTCTGATAATATCATGTCCTCCACCGAGAATCTCTAAATAGGCCAAGTCTTCATTTTCTCTAGAGTTTCTCTTGCCGTACTGTCTTGTGTCACATCAATTATGGAGCAATGAGAAGCACATGCCTCCTGCACTTATTCCGTCTGCTTCAATGGGCACAGGACGACCGCAGAAAACAGCAAAAACCACATATGTCTTACTGTACTTAGCAATTTACTTACTGTAACATTCCAGTAACACATAAACTTTTATATTTCTGCAACACTAAAGATTTCAATGTCGTTCATGATGATTATTAACATAAAGTGAGCGTATACTTATTTAAAGACTGTGAGCACCAGTCACCTTGCCTATGCATTAGGCTGCTATTGCTGTATTGATTAGCAATTATCAATTTCTCCTTATAGAAAACAAATAGCACTAAACATCTAGCTTCATCAGAAATACAGACAAAAGCCAGTCACTACTTCCCAAAGTCTAACATTGCTTATTTTGGCTGGCAAGACAAAACAGAGAAAGACAAGCAAATGCTCAGTTTTGTTCTTTTAATCTAGTAAATCTTTGTTATCTTCACGTCTATGATGACATAAATGACTGATGGTTCACAAAAATTATCAAAAACATCCTCTTTAATGAGATACTCATTTCAGCACTGTATACATTTGACACCCAGTTAATTACAATAACTTCCACTGACTTCAGTCTAAGACTTCATGCAGTCTGTGCAATAAAAATGAACATTACCAGGTGGATTGAACCCTCTCATCCTGTAAATTTGAATCATCCATGCAGCAACATGAGCATGATACATGATGGCCTCAAGCTCCTTAAAAACCAACAGTATCGCCTGCCTGTGCAGGTGCAATGAAAAAACACTTACTGTGTAATTGCCACATGTTACCATCATCTGTGTAGATCAAGCAATGCAGCGAAGGGAGCAGCAACGTTCCCTTGTTCTGACAGCCACTTGATTAACTGCCATACACCAGGGATGAAAGTGAACATTGCATTGAGGCTGCACACTGTTTCAAATTACAGCCAGCAGACATCAGCACAAAACCTGAAGTCTCCCTGGAGCTCTCCTACAGCAGGTTACAAGAGACCATTAGAGTATCTCGACAACCTCAGATTTTGCATCGCAGCATCCATGCTTTATAAACTGAACAGAATGATAGCTGGTGCACCCCTCTACATGACATTATGGTGATGACAGCAGCACCAAGGCAACCGGTTTCAACATCCACCTTCCCCATCTGCAAATGTCTCTGGTTGGATTTTCTCCATCCCTGCACATTAGCGCATAAGCCCGCTGACAGTCAGAGGGGAGATCCTGTATGGCAAGCCTCTCCTTACCTGGCAATCGGGCAAGATAATGGTTGCTGTCACCGTAGCTGACAGGCGGCGAGGTGTAATTTCTGCAGTAATCCGCACTCTGGTAGTACGCTGCATCCCCGTTCTTCAGCTGCAGCGCCATCATCGCAGTCACATCCCTTTGCCAACTTATCCTCTCCTAAAAACCGGGCGGCCAGGCAGGATGACAGTCCCTACCACACGCTCAGACACTGGGGCTTTCACCGGAGGGGGGATTCAAAGAGGAGAGCGGAATACAGAAAGCGACGGTTTACATTAATCCACAACAATAAACCACATTACGTTTTTCTTTTGACGTTACACACTAAAAAAGATGTCCTGGACGTGAAATTAGATTTTTAAAGACATAAACCCTACCGAGGATCCTCCAGCGTCCCCCACCCTCTTGGTTCAGTCCATTTCCGATGCCACCGCTGCTGATTTGCATGGTTGGCAATCATGACACATTGTATAAATATGTTACACCTCTGTGGTGCACTCTAATCACCCATGGGTGGCTATTTATGAGTCCCATACCTGTAGGGAAAACAGTTGAGATGGTGCTGTAATGAAAATTATGTTACTATATGGGCAAATGAAATAAAATAGTCAGTGTTCAAAAAGAAATTTAACTGTGGAAACATGATAAAGTATTAAATTAGTTACAAATACTGCATTCTTTTTTATTATAATATTGTTATTATTCTTATTATGGTTGTTAGTTGTACTGAAGTATTTCATATATTACACTATCTATACCATATTCCTTATGTTATAATATTGCTATTACTGCTCCACATTAAAAAGCTAGTCAGTGGGCTTTGAGTTTTTTATTATTATTATTATTATTATTATTATTATTATTATTGTTATTATTATTATACTGTGTGCATTTTATATTTCCCCATATATGATATATATCACTGTTATTTATTTCCATATATTTTATTTTTTATCATTTATGTCTCAAAGTGGCTGAACTACCTCAATTAAGGTTGCAGAGTTTAAATGTAATTTCTGATTTATTTATTTCATTTAAATTGTTACATATCTATTTCCCTACCTCTTTAGCCTTTCTTTGTGCTGCTGTGAAGTGTGAGTTTCCCTTGGGATCAATAATGTCTTATCTTATCTTCTCATCCTGTCAAATTATGGGGTGCTCTGCAAAAACAAGTGGGTGTCACGCCCACAAACACTGGGACACTGTTGTATCTTATCTGTGGGCTTTGATGGTTTCGTTTGACCCCGTGATAACATTTAAATTTAAAAAGAATATGGTTTTGTGGTTTTATGCATAATTGAGGAGACATGTTTACCACTAACACATCACAGAGGCAAATCACACCCAGTTTCACTTTGTGTATGTGTGTGTTTGTGTGTGAGAGGAAGGGAGGAGGGCCTCGGGCAGACAGCGTGGCTGCAGTGCCGCAGCAAGACAACTCGTCCAGTCGACCAGCAGTTCAGCTGCTCATAACATCCTCAGCCTGAGCCCCTCTGACTGGACATTTTGGGACATATTTTCTGTAACTGAACGCCTCACAATCCACATCACGAGAGGATTTATTTTCGGTGTGGAGTAACGGCTGTTGTCTCGGAAAGGTGGCACAGAAGCTGACAGACGGTAGATAACAGCCTGCTTGTTTGCCCGGCGCCGGGAGCCACCAACCCGGGCCGTTTGGGACTGGTGGGGTTGGCTAGCTAGAGGGCTAGCATTAGCTGGGGAGAGCCTCTCACACCAGCATCCGTAAGCACTTCGCTGCGTTGACGCCAACACATCAGGGTGAGCTATCATGCTAAATTAGTTATTTTTTTTTATACCTTTTAATAGACAAATTGGTTGAATTTAATGTTGAGAATGTATTTACCAAAATGGGCTCAGCGTTAGCCGCTAGCTAAAACAACGGAGCTAGCTAGCTATTCCCAAACTCGTCTACAGGCATTAGTCGACAGAGATATATATGGTAAGACAAGGCCGACGTGGTTAGAGAGGATGTTCCTAAATTATATTTGATTGTTATACAGAAAAAAACGTTATCACTATATCTGGAGCTCACAGTGCTGTGCAGCTGCCAACTCTGAGCTGTCATTCCCAAACAACCTATGTTAGCTAACCTGCTGCTAGCCCGTGTGAGTCTGCTGTTAGATGCACAGCTTGTGTGATGTTGTTTGTGTTCATGTCTTCTCCTCCCAACACATATTTTTGTGACAGCATGAAGATGGATTGAAACATGAAGGGTGGAACTGTCCCATCATCCAAATAGGAGGGCGTCTCTCTTAGGTAACGTTATGCTTCACAAATTCCTTTCTCCTGTTGACAGTCCTGCAAAGACATTTTACATCTGATGTTGTCTCCTATCTTGTTACTGACTGTCATGATTGCAAAGCTAATTTAATAGACAAAGTGAAATTGAAAAAAAAAACGATCATGGTTTCACAAGTGTTGTCTTGAAACCACATTATTGGGTAACGCGATGCAATTCTGTTAACCACAAATGTATTATGTGTGGCACAGACTGAGCATAATGATCTTGTCGACCTGCCACTGCTAGCTACAGTATGTGCCACTGCAACTAGTTTTGCAGTTGTGTTTCAGTATTCAAAGCAAGCTTGTGTGTAGGCCAGTGTTTCCCCATTCCCCACATCCTGTGTTGTGAGGAAGCTTCCTCTTTTGTCCTAAAGTGCTTAGCTGCATCCTGATCAGGGTCACAGATCGCAGAGCTGCTCAATGGGTGGTTTGTTTTAACTCAGGGTTTTCCGTTTTGGCTTGTTTTTGTACATATTCAATGCTACCGTATTTTGCAAATTAAGTTTGCTGTTTTCCTTTTTCATTCACTATCAGTGTCATGCATTTGTATCTCAACTGCATCTCTTAACTTTAACTGGGCAGAAAATCAGTTGGAGGATTAACGGCAGAATTCAAATTTTATTTTTCTCTCTGTTGTTCTTTGTACATCAAGCAGCCATCCACCCATATGCAAAACAACAGAGTTGTCATTCCTGTATGTCAACCTTAAGACGGTCGTTATAGCTGTGTCAATTTCATCTATGCTTTTAGCGTGTTTCCGTGGCTCTGGCACAGGAAGGTGATCTTAATGAACAAAGCTCTGATTGGCTTGGTTGCTCATCCCACCAGGGCAACAGCTGTCAGTGAGTACAACACCAGATGTATTTGAATTACTGGAAAAATGTGAGACTGGGTGGTGATTCAGAGGCCAAAGTTCATTCAAAGCCAGCAAGGAGACTTACCAGCATGCCATAGATATGCCCTGTGGTGTCCTCCCAGTTACAAACCCCCAAAACATTTCCAGAATCTGGTGCATGAGGGCATTTTGCCAGGTGCCTTTACCATTGCATCCAAACTGGGACTGAGCTGCAATGTTGTTGGGTGCCTGCACTCCTGGTAGATGGCACAGGGAGATATGAAAGTAATATTGGTACTGTGAAATGAGACAAGATATCACAAGGAATTCTGATTATTAAATCGGCAGATCAGATAAGTGCTGTTCTGAGGCGATAGAATGACCTTCCATTATTTGAGTCTAGCTGTGGGAAATGAACAGTGAAAGCTTGGTTCCTATGTCCTTATGCTGTTTGCTCATGATTTTTTTTCTCACAGAAAGTATAGTTGAAAAGATTAGATAACATATTGTTTGAACACACCAATAGTTCTTTGATCTTTTCATGAAAGTGTTGCAGTTGTGTAGTTAAATCAGTAATGGGTTCTTTAAAGACTTCACTATGTTATCTTCAGTACAGTTTGCTTATGTGCTGCTCTACATAAGAGAAGTCCTCATTCTCATAATGTTGTAATACAGACCTGGTCAAAGTGAGGAAACTCAGAGAACATACATGCCAATACAGTGCCGTTTTGAGGGTGTATGTTTTGTCTCAAAGTTTTTGTTGTACTTAAGATGTAAAGCTAATGTAGTCTAGACAGCTAATATTGTCCTGACAGAACAGCAACCACAATTACAAGAACTATGCTAATTTAGGAGAGCAAGAAAAACAAAACACTAATGTAATAGATAAAAGATGGATATTTTCTGGATAAATTACAATAATAATAACTCTTGGTTTTCTTCTCATCCTGAAGCATTTCTGAGAGTTGTTTATGGCCACAAGTTGGCAGAAGGTTATATTAAGGCATGTTGTAATTTTCGAAGAGCCCACACAACCACATACTTTCCCATCACTGTGTCACAATCTGTTGCAGTTGAGTCACTGTGTTGTTTTTGTGTTTGTGAGTGTTGGACATGAGCAGTCTGTCTAAAATACTCTTGTCAATGGAGTCCCACAAGACCCTGCTATTTCCCAGTACTCCAGCACAGAAAATCGAATGAACAAATGTTGACTGGTAGATATACAGCTACAGCTAGTAAGCACTTATCTTGGCTAATTGTTTTTGAAAAAGTATCTTCACATATTAAATTAATGTATCCTCGATGATCTCTGGAGGTTTGGGACAAAAGCCGGCATTAAGGACAGATACAGTAATTTACTCTGTTAATTACTGATGTCAGAATAAATATAGTAGATAATGTCAAACCACCATGGCTTTGGACCAGCCAGCGTCCTATGAGAAGCTGCTGCTTTTGATGTATGTGATGACATGGGGAGGCAACTGTTCATTCAAAACAACAATGGCAGCTCCTTAAAAGGGGTGCATAGATGCTGCAATAGCATCAGTTATATCAGAGCTGGAGAGTATTTCTTCATTTAAAGAAGAGCAAGGAACAGCATTGAAGGTTTTTGTCTATGAAAAAGATGTTGTACTTCCCCCAGCTGACTTCGGCAGGAGTTTGATTTACCAACTGGCTCCGCTTGATGTGACTAGTTGAAGTTAGCTCATGATAGATGATGATAGACAAATCATCCAATCGCCTGCCAAGTATGTTTTGAAAGTGCCTGCCCCTTTCCAAACTGTTTCCAATAATGGCTTATCAGTTGGTTCTGTGTTAAAAACTATCTGGGTCATTTAGGTCATTAATATTTATCGCAATTATTAATTGATTTTAGGGACAAAATATTCTTATTGCACTTTCACATTTAAATGGACAGAGCACTGCATCCACTCCATTGTTGTGTTAATTCCTGCTAATGTAGACCTACAAATCTTTGCACCAAAATAAGACCAGTCCTTATTCACAATGCACCTCCTGGAAACAAAATAAGATTGTACCAAAACCTTCTACCAAAATTAAATCAACAGAGCACTGCTTTCACATTCATGTTGTGCTACATTCCAATATGGAATGTGATTGCTGTGGTTATTCCAGTCTGTCTTTGAGAGCTAAATGGATAAGCATCCAATGTTATGTTTATAATGTGTATATATACGTAT